AGACTCAGAGGAGTTGTAATGATAGGTGTACACATTGCCTCTTATCACTAGATTAAATTCCATCTTCTTGATCTTTATACAAAACTAAGGAATCTCAAACAGAGATCAAGGTGTGGAGAAACATCCTGATGATGCCTTTTGTTAATGTGTTAATGAACTTGCTTGGTTAATGTCATAGAAAAAGTCATATAAACCCCCAGACAAAATCTTTTACCTGAACCTGTATACTTTCCAATGATAATGCTTTTCAGAGACTGAAGCTTAAATTAAAATATGAAAAGAAGAGGTGGGTAGATAGGGGTTCTTGGTAGCTGCTCATCTGCTAATTTGGACTATTTTTTTAATCCTTATTAAAACTACTAATACATTTTGAAGCAAGTAAGGCTTTTGTGTCTTTTGTCCTTTTCTTCTAATTTTGATTTTTTGTCTTTATCTGCACAACTACTTTTCTTCTAATTTGAGAGCTACTCTAGCCTGTGCCATTCATCACAAGAACATCTCAGAGCGACTTGGAAATGTTTCAAGTTTTAACAATCAGAGACTTAACCTGTTTTTTCTCATAGAAGTTACCTGCCTAGACACACTAGGAAGACAAACACTGAATAACAGAAGTTGAATAATAATAGTAATGAAGAATTTTGCATGAGAAATAAAACCCTGGTAAAATCAGGTCTTTTGTTGTAGATTGCTGAGATACTTTACCAGTGTAAGGAGAAGAGTGTCGACATATGTCAGGCTATCCTCCCTAAATTAGAATTACTGTACAGGGGAAACCTTGGCTGCTGTAACTATCCCTGCAACATTTGCTATTTTCTTGTGCCTTTTTTCTTTCAAATACATGGGGCTATTTGGGGGTGCATTTTTGTTCTTAAAGTCTCTATTTTCTTACTTGATCTTTTTGTTCTAGTATCATAATTCTTCTAACTTGATCTAATCACATTTTCTGACTTGCTTGTCAATATAAGATAAATCGGGGGGGAGAAGGAAGAATTGCTTTGATTGTTTGTGTTGTGTGGGGTTTTTTACTGAATTTCTTGCTTTAGAGTGGGGTAAAGCTGATGGTCTAGGAAACTAAAGCATCAGTACATCTTTTCTCAGCCTATTTTGATAGTATGCTTTATCCCTGACCTGCAAAAGCTACCTCTCCGTGTGAGAGGATAGTTCATTCTCCATAGCTTGTTCAGTCCTTGTCCTTTTTGCTAGGAGTACCATCAAGATTGCTAATTATAGTAATAGGTTTGTGATGTGGGTGCTTCTCCTCTGAAAACTGGTGAAATTCATTTGATATAAGCCATAAAACAGCCATTTGTGGGTACCAAGTTTCAACCACCATCACTTTGACCCAAGCAGTAGCTAAATAGTGCAGTAGTGTTTTTCCCTTGCATCCTATTTCATTTTTAATGTTCTTCCTGAAGCCAAAAAGAGCTCCCAACTCTTTTGTATTTCCACTGTGTTTCAGACCCTTTTCTGCTGAAACTCTGATGCCTATTTTCGATTGTAAGAAACTAAACCTGCATCAGTTAAATAAACCAGCACAAAATAATATCAAGAGTGAGCTTTATACAACCTTAAATATCTTGGTTTGTTGTTTGGGGTTTTTTTACAAAAAAGCCATTGAAGGTGTGGCTTGGACAGAAACAGAGAGTAAAACATTTTTTTCAAAATTACAAAATTATTTCAGTTGTTAGTACTGTAGCACTTTCCCTCAAAAGAAAGGTATAAAAATATTATAGCTTTAAAGCTTACTTTGCTGGAAGAAAAGTGGCTTGAGAAAGAAAATGGCTTATGTCAACTACTTTAGCACCACTGGAAAGGAACAAGAAGGAAATATTAACAAGACTTGCATTTTCTTCATATTGGCAGTAAACATGATACATGTGATTTAAGAGACTTTTTGTAGTGTGGTACTTTTACACTTCTACTTTATTAAAGGAAATTTCATAAAAACTGAGATTTTTAGATTTCTGTTGCTACCACTTTTCTGGGTTTCCTAGCAGTGCTTTTCTTTAAATGGAAATGCAATCAGTCCTTACTTCATGGTGCCTTCAGTGTTTCTTTCAGGTCTGACCACTAAGTCCAAGAGTCACCTCCTCAGTAATTCGTAAAAAAATTACTGTTCCCCGCCCCCTTACTACATGTGGGTTCATGCACTTAGATACACCTCTTTGCCTTTTTCAGGGTTGTTTTGCTATATTACTGGGGGTTTCTGTACTTTACACCCAGGAATTGTTCTTGGATTACAAGAACTTGTATGGCTGGTCTGATTCACTGCTTTCACTAGCACTGGAATTCAAAATAGCTGATTCAGAATCAGGCTGATTCTGACTTTGGTGTTAATGATGTAATAGTGTTGACTCTGAGCAGAATTGATCCTGTTTCCCTGATACGTGGGGTCATGTCTGCTTTACAGGTGCAGGTGCAGATGTTCAATTGCAGCTCCTGCAAATCTGTGGAAGCATAAAATAGATGGAGTAGTCCAGAGTTAGGTACTGAAACAGTTTTAGAGGTTGCAACCAGTACCACACTAAACATCTCCTGGCTGCACCTCCCTTACTGGTCATACTTGCACTTAGCTAAAGATAGCAAGGTTAAATACATAGAACTTGTAGTTCCATCTCTCCCATCAGCGTGCATACACTCTGAGTGAGATGAGTCCTACTGGTATTTATTTTAGAGAAATTATCTTTAGGTTTACGTGCTTATCAGGATGAGTCCTGTTGGTATTTATTTTATAGAAATTAACTTCAGTTTCCCCACAGGAATAAAGATTTTTCTGTACTTTTAGAAAATTTATGGCAAAGTTGATTTTAAAAATCTTGTGTCTAAATTTGTCATTGGCCTTTGCATAATTGTGATGTCTTCAGGAAAACCACTATACTGAAGCTAGAGACCAAAAGCAGCCCTAGTACTAGATCAGGGAAGTGGAGAAGGACGTGCGGCCCTTAGCTCACTCCTTCTAACAGTACACATGCCAGTCATGTTACACCACTGCTCATGGTCCTGGCAACCTGTCAGTTCCATGTTTTGCTCAGCACCATGGTTTATGAGCTTTTACCTACCCACACAAACTCCTCTTGCCTACAGTAGGTGTGCACAGAAAACTCTGTGTTTTGGATACTCAGCAGAAAACTGACAGTAACATAAGGGAGGGTTGGTGGGGGGTTTTTGTTTCTTTTTTTTGCAGGAGGAGGTGCCTATACTGCCTTCCAAACTGCATGTGTGAAGTATAGTAAATAGATGGGTTAAAAAAATCATAATTCAAATCTCTATAGTGGTACTGATCAGATCTCTGTTTCTGTAGCAATGAGAACCAAAGGTGGCCTTTTAAGGCTCACAGTTCTTCTACCAATTTCCAGTTCTGCTTCAGGATTCTTAAAGTATTAGAGTGCGTGCTTTAAACCCACAAAACTTACCTTTACCTAATTTTCACCATTCTAACCTAAGTTTCCACGGAAACAGGGTTGAAAAAGCTGCTGGTAGCCAGCAGGCAGCCAGCAGCTGAGAGTGAGAACTCTCCTTTGTCACTTTCCACTACTGGATGCCTGCTGCGTGCCAGTGTGCAAAGCTACCTAGGATTCTAAAATCTGGATTACTTTCAATTTGAGGGGGAAAAATTAAATTAATCTACTCTTTTCTGTCTTTGGATTGTCACAGTAAATTCCAGGAGGGCAAATGGGCTAATGAGTCCTGATCTGTTCGGTTACATTGAACCCCACATAACCAAAGCTTTGCCAACCAACTCGGCCTCTCCTTTCATAATTTCCATGTTTTAAAAGCATTCTGTCTCAATTTTTTTTGTCTGTGCATGTGTACATGCATATTGTGGTACCTTAATTCTCTGTATCTATTTCTCTACATATTTATGAACCTTTTTTGCATACAGTATAATCAATGTACAAAATTCCCTTTTTTTCCTGTATACTTAGGGAACATTTCTGAATGAACACATTATAAACTGATCCTCGGTTAAATATTAGGAGTAGGATGTGAATGGAGATGGCTTTTAACCAGAAGTAGATTATAGCTGCGGGAAGACTAAAGGGTCTATTTGGTCAAGACTCATACAAAACTGAGATAAGCATGCACAACCTGACAAGATCAGATTAGATCCTTCCCCCACGAGTGCTTTTCCCATAAATATTTATCTACTTTCTATTATAAATAACCAGGAAATGAAAAAGAAGGATAGATTCCTTTTTAAAAATAGCCTAGAAATAGAAATGCAGCTTCAAATCTTATGGGTAATGATATTTAAAGTATGCAGTACATTCCAATACTAGTTGCTATTTTTTAGATGAGAGTAAAGTACTGAAATTCTTTGTGGCAGCTACATAAATCAGCAGCATTTATCACCAAAAAAAGAACTTTGTACATATGTGAAATTTTGCCTACTACTGGGTACCTTAGAATTAAATAGCTTATCACCTATGAGAGAATAGGTGTTGACAGAGTCAGCACTGCTGTATTTTTAAGCTTGCCTGAGGCAACATAGCTGGCATTGAAGTTAAGCTTGGCATTTTTTCACCCTGTCCCTCCTCCCTTCAGCCCAAGTGAATGCTCACTTCATCAATGAGAAACACAACTGACTTGCCTGCCAGATGCAACAGAGATCCATGAATTCACATCTCTTCTGCAGATTTGTGTTTCATTCAGATTGTCAATACTTTGACTTCACTTGTTCGTGTAGTAGTGTTAAGGGGTAAAAATCTGAAGCTGGGCATGTGCCACTAATTCAGAAAGGCGTATTTGTTGGTGATACACTCATCAGAACATGTGTGGATTGCCTTTCTGCTATAATGAAAAATAACTCTTTAGCTTTGAGATTTAAAGCCTTAAAAATGTACAGAATAAGATTTTTACATTCATCTTTGACGGTAACGAGTGTGCACTTTTTAAAACACTTCGGTGTCACATAAGAATAATATTAGTACTTTAAAAATCTCAAGATGAAAAATGTAAGTCCTTTTTTCTTTTTATTTTAAATCTTTTTTTTCCTCTAGCATTTTACGATGGGATAATGAGACAGATGTCTCTCAACTGGAAGGACATTTTGACATTGTTATGTGTGCTGACTGGTAAGTACATAAAAATCATAAAACTCATGTTAGAAAAATAGCTTTGCTGGAGTAATTGTACTGTGCTGCTTGCTGATGGCTAAGCAAAGTCAACAAATGAAGCACAAAGCCACCTTAACCTCAACAAATTAATATTCATCTCCATGTGACAGTTATAAGGTAGTCTTCTATCACACAGTAACTTCTACCACATTATTTCCCAAAGATTGATTTTGAGAAGCATTTCCATTTTCTGGAATTGCCTCTGTTTCATGCTTGACGTATCAGTAAATGGACGACTTAGGCAAATTGCAAATAATTATGGCTCAGTGAGGAACAGTCTGGAGAAAAGGGAGTTTATCAACACAAACAGCTCAATTAGCTTACTTCTTAGGAAAGATCTGACTATTGATATAAGGGGATATATTTTTTGCTCCCTGGAATGTCTTTCCAGGGAAAAAGAGATTTTCAAACCTCTTTTTCCCCACCACCACATTCTGTTCTTTAAATCAATTTGACATCAATATTTGTAGATATAGGCTTTATATTATTTACACAGGCATATGTTAATTATAAGATAATTCATAGTAAGGAAAATAAGAGTACTGCACTTAATTTATGAAAAGGTAGATACATGTTGCACTGTGGTGGATTGTTTAATAATTTATGCAAATAGATTTGATTATTGACACAACCCTTTTCTGATACTGCATTTGCAGGATTGTGCTGTGCTATATTTGCTGTGTGCTAGCTTTAAAAATGGTACATTATTAATAATTTGTGTTATAGAAATGTAGACAGTGTAAAAAAAAGAACTGTACAAATTTTATTTAGGAGAGTAGATATTTTTTAAAAAATCTGTTTTCCCTTCATGGATACTTGCTCTTGACCCTTTAAATGTCTACAACAAAAAAAAGAGCTGTTTATGTTTTGTGACACATAACTGTTGTGAGAGACCAAAGTCTGAAAAAATGGACTTGCTAGGACAGCTCAGTTCAGCAAATTTCTGTACCTTATTAAGAAATAGTTAAAGGAAAAAGCGAAGAGAAGTATGAAGCTGTCTATTGTCTTTTTAAACAATGTTCTTTTTTAAGTGGCTTCTTATAAAATATTCCCCTAAAGCTTCTTTTTTCCCTTTCATATTTTTTCAACTCTTCTTATTTCAGAAAAGTTATTGGTTTTGCATAGCACTGGAGAAAATGTATTTAGTGATCTTTTTGCCATTTTCTAATACCTATTTGTTGACAGAATGCAACAGTGCTTTGTTTCTCTTAGCATTTAATTTCTGAAAAGTTCTTTGTTCCCAAAAAGGACAGAGAAGGGTTTCTAACTAATCGCTGATAATGTGCCTCAGAGATGCATCATCTGATTAAAATAAGGAGCTAAACAACACCATATGATTTCAGCAAGTAATTTAGTAAATGCCTTCCTCACCAAATATTAGAATGGATACTCCAGGTTTCATTGCACAGATGAAGTTAATGCTGGACAGGATTAGATCAGATTAAGTATGAAAGTCAGATCAGAGTGCTGGCGGACATAAGCAGGAGGGCAGCAGTCTTCTCGGAGGCTTAGACAAGGCTCACATATGGATGTTCTCCAGATTATGTGGGTGAAGCAAGGTCTTGCCAAGAGATTTAGAGTTAAATTTGTTCTTCACACAAATATCAAAACAACCTGGCTGTGCCTTCTCTTGTATTCTTGATACTCACACCATGTCATCCTATTTGTGCTGGGAGTACAGCAGAGTGGAGCAAGACTTAAGTTGTTTTTTTCAATAATATTCGTGCCTAATACTCCTCCCAGTCTGTTTGGAAATAGTGTAGTTTCTTTAGGAAACAAAGAATCAAACATGACAGGTAAAATACATAATGCATTTGCAATCCCTGCATTTTGTACATATATTTTGAAGCACTTAAGATGCAGGTAAGTGTATAAATATTTATAGATTTCTAAAAAATAAATAGAAATGTGCAGGTTCGCTTAAACTATGTGGTTTTATTCACAAATTATCTGCATTTTCTTATTGCAGGTGCCCATATATATATAGTTTAATAAGCATGAAAATCCCTTCATTGTTTGTTTCTTTTAGAAATCATTCTTTTAGTTATGGACACTAGGTTTCTGATACATGAAAAGGCTGGGGAAAGAAATGTTCCATGCTTTATCAAACTCAAATCATCTTTTCATTTTCATGTACTTCTCTTCCGAGATATAGAATCGGTTTGAGAACAGTTGGCAGGATTTTTGCTCTCTGAATTTTTTGGGCTGCCATTGAAGAGGAAAAAAAAATCCCTTTTCTTCTAGCTCCTCGGCTGAAACCTGAAGTATGCAGTGATAAAAACAGATAGAGTAGATTGCATTTAGTTTAACACCATCATATAGCTCATTGTCAGTCAATAAAATCTGAGATTAGAACAGAGAACTAAAAAGCAAAAAATCGGAGTTCGAATATTAGGTACATGGATAAATTTTTATTGAAGTATTTCCAGCAAGGGTGATATTGTCTGATTCTCTGAATAGCTAACCAGTGGTACTGCTTGATCCCATTTACATGAAAACAAGCTCTATTCATAAACATATTCCAAATCCACATGGAGATTCAAGGAAAAATGTACATGATTACAGCAAGCAGGGATATGTTTATATTCATATATTTACAGTCAGACTTTCATAAACCTTGTGTGCAGGAGTGGAAAATAAGTTATTTCCCAGAACAAACAGTCTATTAGTTAACAGCTAAATTTAGTAGCTCAACTAGATTATAAAATAAATAAGAGGCAAACTGTGAAAGCTAGCCATTATTTAACCATTCAAGATTTTGACAATAAAAATAGTTTCATGGTTCAGCAGGTCCGAAATAATTTGTAAAATTGTAAAATGTCAGCTATGAGATAAAAATAATAAGAAAAAAAATCTTGGTGAGGCTACACCTGGAAGGAGGATACAGTGAAAAAATACTGAAATAACAGAATCTTTAAAGCATATCCACCCATCTCATATTTTTGAGGGGGAATTTTAAGGCCAGGTGAGGGCTCCCAGAATTTTTGACTTTCATTTGACCTACACTTGTGGATATAAAGTCATACAGGTGCTGGAATTGTGAGTATGAATAGAAGAGGTGAAATAACAAATGCCTCTATTGACAGGCCAAAACAAAGACTCTTCCACAGCTCTTGTGAGCCTCAAATTTCTGATTATTAAAATAGCGTATGTACTCTTCTTTATTGAGAAAAAAATTTCTGAGATTTTTAATCTGAAGAGAGAGTCAAAGCCAGGACCAAGACAATAAAAAAATCATTATCTTTTACTTTATTGTAAAACAAGTTTTCACAAATAATTTAATGTAGAGGTGGTATAAGGTTTATACCCCCATATTGTTGAAAATGCATAATATTTATTATTTACTTACAATAATTCTATTCTTAAAGTTTGGCACATGCATAAGTGTTCACACAACAGAGGCCAGGGGGAGCTATCCCACATTACTTTCACAGCTGAGATTTTTGCTGAAGTCATGGGGAGTTGTGTCTTCGCCAGGAATGTAGAACTGAACTGAAAGTATTCTTTAAATACCTTACAATACCTTATTTTGTCTCTGTTAGGTTATTGCCAGAATGCAGTAAGGCCTCTGTCCTTCTTCCATTTAAACTTATTATTCTTTTTAGGCCTGATTTCTTACACGCACTTTCAAGTGCATTGGAACCTGACCACATGGAAGTAAGGGTTTTTTTCAGTTTGTATCACCCATGTAGTTGAAGGCAAACAAAAGGATAAATGACTCTACACATTAAACACTACACATTTAATAATGTCTGAAGTACACCTGTAAACCCAGGTCTTTTAATAATTGCAAAGCATGCAAAAAGAAAAATAAGTTCACCATAAAACAAATATCGCCATGAAGCAAACTGAGAATCTACTTGGGTTTTTTATTTGTTTCATTGTGGCTTACTGTTACTTTTTTTTTTATGGTAATTTAAAATGTAAAAAAAAAAAAAAAATAAGAGAGAAGAGAGGTGACAAGGTTGCCTGCCTGTTCATCAAGATTTCACAGGTTAAGAGCATTGCCTAAACAAAGACCAAATCATCAACTGTGTTCTCACCTCTCTACTGCTGTGATTCAAAACTTCCTTGTGACCCAAGAAAACCTTGCTATTCCTGTCCTGAGCTACTGCTTTCACAGTGTCCTCACTACATAAACATGAGTTATTACCACTAAAGTAATGGCAAACTAAGCCAAATTTGAACTGAGGTGTGAGAACTGAGTGTGAATGGTTTGGAACAATACATTATCTAATTTTACTGAGCGGTTCACAGAATCACAGAATTGTTAGGGTTGGAAGGGACCTCTGGAAATCATCTAGTCCAACGCCCCTGCCAAGGCAGGGTCACCTAGAGCAGTTTACACAGGAACATGTGTGCTGTGAGCTTTGAAGGATGCTTTTGGGTACATTTTCAGTAGGCTGTGGTAATAATTAGTCATATAAATTCTACTGGTAAGAGAAATTGCGTGACTAAATCCCCCTGCGTGGGCCAAATCCTGTGCTGTTCCTGTCTGCAGCATAGATTATCTAATAACTTCTTCAGGATTTTCCTCATTCAAAGCATCCCCTGACTCAGGTGGAGGATAGAGATGTTTCCTGGAGTCACTGCATTGCATTAACACTGCTTCCAGTCTTCTCTGCTCCTTCTGTTATGAGTGCATGGCTCACAGAGCAACAGTTTGGAAATCACAATATCAAACAGTGTTCGATTAAGTAGGTTGTGTCCCAGGCCTTTTGGAGGGCAGGGACAACTTTGGGCAACTGTCTCAGGTTATCTAGGTCTCCTAAGGTAAGAGGGCTAAGAGTCTACCTCCCCTACCACCAAAATGTCAGCTGGGGTTGGACAGAAAAGGTATTATTGAAGTTGTCTAATCTAGCAGGTCATGTAACCCTTTAAAGTTCTCACACACTCAGTTCACAGTTTTTGGTGGGCAAAGGCCTGTAGTTCTCACTGAGAAGGAACAAGGTTGGTAGCAGCAGTTGTGCCCCTATCTCATTGTAAGAAGAGAGAATGGTATTCAGGTCCATGAAAAAGAGATTTTAACACTGGTAAGCTGCCCCAAGGTTGTGTTTCCACTACACTGCTTTCAATAATAAAAATAGTATAAATGCACTTTTCATTTGGAATGTACTTCTGTTTACACAGGATCCCAGGAAGTCTTAAATGTTTGAGTACTTGTGATGATGTGGAAGAAAACTAATTACTTTTAGCTATTCTTTTGGGAGAGTAATCATGTATTCCACTTCTTCTGCGGGTGGTTAAGTTCCCAGTGAAGTAGTGTCTTAGGACATCTATCTGTATAGGGATCAATCTGAAGTGAATGTCATTAAAACAGCCAAGAGACATCAGATACAAGAGCTGCTCTTTCAATGAATTAAATTTAACTCACATTTTTTCAATAAGCTTCTTCCAGTAAGATGAATCAAGGCCAAGGGGTAGCCATCATGCCAACTGCACAAGTTTAAATTTTCTTGTGAGCCAGGCTATCAGAGAAGCTGATAGCTAGTACTTCATATTCTTGAGAAGAAATTCAGGTCATACTTCTCTATTAAATGTTCTTTAAGATGTGTGTGGATACCCATTCTACCATATTTTCTCAACAATATGAGGTTCTGCCAGTTTTTATGGATGAAATTTGGTCACGTAAAGTTTTCTTTATAGACTTGTTTGTTTATTTATTCCCCAGTAGCAAAAATTCACAGCTCTTACACAGCTGCTTGACTCTATGATATGTAATATTATATTCTCCTTGGTAGCTGTGGAGTGTCTAAATATCCACACATCTTCTGTTCTTGATGAGAGGCCTGTGGTTGGTAGATTACTTTTTTTCTCTTCAGAGTTTCCATATATTCTTCATGTTCTTTTAGAATTTCTAACCTGGAAAAAAAAATTACCTACATCTTTTCAGAAAAGAAGTTTGAGAATAAAGGGAAGGGGAGTATAGGGAAAAAACCTTAGAGAATGGACAAAATGGCATGTAGTGTTAAACTTGAACTTGATACAAGCTGGGAAGCAGTTTTATTACAGAGAAAATGTGGGGGAAGAAAAAAAGAAGAAAAAAAAAATCTCATTATCTGTGGCCTGCTTGATAGAGTTTCTTATCTGAATCACCAATATAAATGCAGCCCACAGTAGTAAGGACTGAAAGGCATCAGTTGCTATCAGATGGTTGTTCACTAACCATTGTAAATGCACTCATCCACAGTAACTACATGTCCACAAATATCTAGTCAAGAGTGATTGGCACCCTGGTTGCCACTATTAGTATATACATTAAGGTACTGAGGGGCATGAAGAATGAATTATCCCCTCAAATCATGAGGTAATCACGCCAAAATAGGGCTGAGCGTGTTGGCAACATTGCATGGGAAAATTGACTCTGCTGCTATCCTTGCGGGACCCATGCTGGAGATGAAGGATTGCACTCTTGAGAGATGACAACTCTGTACAATCTGGGCCATTGTATTTGAACAGTGTTTGAGAGAGAGAGAGAGAGGGTAAGATCCTGTAAATCTTTATGGGGATAGATAGAGATAGATATATAAATATAACAAATATGCGTAATAAGTAAGAATTAATGCCAAAACTGTGAAGGTAAAAGGAGAAAAAAATGCCCTTAATAGTAACACCTGAAATACAGTAGAAAACACTTTTAAAAACTTCCAGTCCCCTTGTATAAAAAACCATGTGAAATGCTAACTTTTTATATTGATCCCCATTTCTGATACAGTACTTTTTTAATAGGTAGCATGTATGATCAGTGAATTTCAGCTATATAAAGAGCTGTTTCATGCTGTTAATTTAGCTTTGGTTTAGATTGTATTTCATTTTATGTATTTCTAATGTTAAAAGAGCCTGCACTGGATAGAAATATAAACCACAGTTTCTCTTTTACAGCATTGTGTAAACATATGTAATTAGCCTTGTACTTATCTGCATTAGTATCATTAGAATTGAAAACCCATTTTAATCTGGATTCTGTTCTCTTCTCAATGTCAGCCTGTTTCTGGACCGGTACAGAGCTAGCCTTGTTGATGCAATAAAGAGATTACTCCAACCCAGTGTAAGTATGTTTCTATTTTCTCCTGAACACTGGCTTCAGAATAATTAGTCTGTGCACAATGATTGAGAGAGTAATGGAATGGCAGGATTAATGTCATGTAATACTTTAATACTTATTATGTCCAACTTCAATTGAGTCTTCTAATCTATCAGATTCTTTCCTAATCATAAACTAGGAAACTTCTTATACTTGGCCTTCTGATAAGGAACACAGTGGGTAGTAAAATAAATGAAACCGCTTCAAAGATAGCGTCAGATTATTTTTATCAAAGCGTTTCTCAAGTATTTTCCTTTGATAATAATGTCTTCATATTAAAGTAAAATACAGTATTGAAAGTTTTTATGTTGGCTTCTGTCATTTTTAATCCCTTCAATTGTAACCTTTGTCATTGTGTATTTATTTATTCTGAAAGAATATTTTTTCTTTTCATTTATGTTTATTTAAAATGAAAAAAACCCTTATACATATACTGTGGCTTAAAATATTTTTCCATTGAGTAAGCTCTGTGTTTACATGTTTTATACCTTAGAAAATAGCGATATTGTGCTCTTCATAAAATGATTATATGTTCTACGAGTGTCACTCAGGAAATATTTTATTGATCTAAATCTGTTAGTCTGTTTAAATCAGAGAGACCTACAGGCAAAAAAAAAATCTGGTATATGCATCTATAAAATATATATATTATATCTATAATCTCAAATCTCAAAAAAATTGGAAGATGGCAAAACAAGAAAAGGAGAAAACATGAAGTAATTGGTCTAAGTAGAAGTTTGAGACAGGAATTTTCTCCCTCATGGTTAACATCCAAATCTTCCAATAAAGTAAACTTTCCATTTCCAAACAAAAGTATTTCCTGCTAGCAATGCATTCTCCAAATTTTATTTAAAATTTATATTGTACTTTTTGTACAAGAGATTTTCTCTGTAAAAGAAATAGAAGACCCAAACATGCAAAGGCTTAAGAAACTGAGTCATTTTAGTAATGTTAGTAATCCCATTCTTTGCTTAGAGTGATCAGGTTTCTATTCTTGGTTCTATCATAGACTTTCCTGAGTGACCTAAGGCAAGTTACTTAAGATTGAATTATTTTAATGAGCTGTGGGGCAAAGCTGCCAGGAAGACAGGAGACAGTAGCCACCCTGAGGAAAAGGTTACCCAGATATTTCTGTCAGTGGCAGTAAGGAGAGGTTAAGCAGCTCCTGCCCAGAGTGACGTGTTCTGAATTTTATGATGTACCAATGTTTGTCCAAGTGCAATAATTTTTGGGACCATGGGTGATCTGGAACACAAAGTTGATCCCAGTTAAAAAAAATACAAAAAGATTTTTTTTTCAGACCAGATCCATGTCAGAAACTAGTTCTTCAGGTATTCCCATAGGCCACTGTACTGACTCCATGGAAGCACACTGGGGAAGAAAAGCATGAGTGGCAAGAAAAGTGTAGAAGAGATGCACTGGTAACTGTGGCCTGGTTGGAGCCTCTGGCTGGAGTGGAAGAAGAGCTGTTAGTTGCTTTCTCTCTTGCTTAAGTTAAACATGGTCTGGTGCTCTGTAGTGCCAAAAACACATATGCACATATGTCTGTATATGCATATACAGACACACATTCTTTAGCTGGGCTGATTAGCCAACCAGAGAATTTGATTTAAAAGGCAAGGCGGCCTGAATTTTAAGTAGTGTTGCCATCTAGGCTACAATCTAGATAATTTAGGAATTGTTAACCTGAATTTAAACCAAAACTGACCTGACTTTTTCTTTTTAACTCCAGTCAGTTTATTCAAATTCATTACAAGCCTTTGTTTTTCACGGCATATGAGCTACAGTCTTTGTGAACATAGGTGGAGTAAAGGGAGATGGCTTTTTGTTGCCTGTCTTCCTAGTCTTGCTCGCTTCAGGACATTGCGATTAATAGCATAGGCTGTATTAATAGCATAGCATTTATTTGCTGTGCATTTTAGGCCATGGTTCCTATTTCTTATCAGCAAAGCTAGCTTAAGAAATTCTTGCTCCTTGCAGGAATTTCTGTTGTAGAGTTTTGGACCACTATCCAAACTGTATTTTTAACTAAACTCAGTTGCCTAACCCACTTTATGAATGGCTATATGGATGGATATCCATTTATGGCACGGCCTTGCAAATTACTGTAATTCATAACTAAGAGGACAGCAAACTGTGGGGTAGAAGTTGGGAGTACAGGCACCTTAAATGAGCTCTTTTGTCCAAAAATTACATGTTCAACAGAGATGTCTTCAAGCATATGCTTTCATGGTTTAAAAGACCCAAATAAAAGCATATACTCATTTGAGATCCCAAAAGAAGATACAGTCACAAGTACAAAATAGTCATCAATTTTACTGTTCTTGTTAACCTCTATAAATCTAAGGATAACACCAGAGGACACTTTACTAAATGACACTATACTTTGGCTTTTAAAGGAAAAATAAATTAATAGTGAACTCATTTGCCAGTTGCAATGATTAAGAATAGCTTATGGGCATTAGTTTATGCCCAAGCTAAGGCATAAACTTCTTCGATTAAGTTCACTCTTCTACATTAATTATTTTGTCTCAAATTTAGAAGTTGCATTTCCTTTTTGGTTTAGAAGAGTCTGGGGAAAATAATAACCAACAATACCATAAGAAAAAGTGGAGTAAACAGAAAATTACAGGTATCTTTGCAAAGCTGTCTTGAAGAAGAAATTCAGAACACATAATCTGTTCTTACTGCTAGTTTAAAATTCATCTGTGTTATTTCCTTTTTCATTAAGGATGTTATTTGTGGCTATTAGAATCCTTATGGCACATCCTTATGATGTGTTTTGGGTAACTTTTTGGTTTCCTTGGCACAGGACTGGTTATTTCAGTCATCTGATTCACAGTATTGACCCCATGGACAGTTGTATTGGCATAGGAAGACAGGACCAAAAATTCACAGAGGCAGAAATAAGCAGTTCTCAGAGTTACTGAGGGCTGAAATTTTTATCTGAATTTGTCACAGAGGCACATGTCACCTGTAAACCAATTCAAAGAATTAGGCATAGAAATTCTACGTCAAACAAATTTACCTTGAATGGCTTTATTTTATTTCTCTCAAGCTACTTGAATTGATATGCCAATATTTAGTTTTATTTTTTTATATCATTAAAATATACTTTAAATTTCAATCTCAGAATAAGCATTTGTTTGTTTGCATAGTTCCCTGATTAAGAACAGTTTTTTGTCAAAGCTTTGATTCTTCTGAGGCCTATCCATTCAAAATCCCAATGAAGTCAATGGGATGCTGTTGAGCTGTGATTAGTACCAGCAAGACTGGTACATTTAATGATGATGATGAGTAAACTTGGTCATAGTCACATCAAAATATGAACTTCTGTCCCATTGTCTTATTGTAGCATTTTACTGACCCTTCAAACTATTATAACTGACGTTTTGCTCTGAATTCTGTTCCCAAATTTAATGGAAGTATTTTCTCGGCTGAGGAAAGGCCATTTTGAACTTTAAACCTCATCTTTTAAACATTATCCCGGGAGATACTTTTGAATTAGAATTAAACTTGGGATAGTCAATGAAGAATAGAATCAGGTCAGTGGTCTACTTTTTTTATTGTACAGTAACCAAGATATGAAATTCACATTTCTTTTATAATTGGAAATGTGAGTGAAGCCCTACAGCAGGTAGCAGAATCACAGAGATCAGGCAGTTGCCAAAAAAGTGCTTTCAACCCAGATTATTATTGACCAGAATTGAACACAGTACCTACCAGTTTTGAGATTATTGTGGTATTAAACTTTAATCATGATTTTTTGTTTTTTATCAGTGAGGGCAAGAGCCTCAAGTATTTTAGATGCACACTGAAGTCAACAGATGAATGGGTTTTTACTCTAACTAAGGAGCTGGCCAAAAGTAACTGTGTAGTGATTTCCATAAAAGGCCATTCCCCTTTTTTGAAGATATTTCTAGATTTTCTCTGTGGGTTTAAGAGATATTTCATATGGATATTTCGTACATTCTATTTTACTATATTTCTCTTTCAAATTTAATTGGAAGTAGTCTACAGAGAACACGAGAAGGAATGACCACATGGACTGTTAACTCCAAATGTGAAGGTGTGCTGCTGTGTGAGCACTGCTTCCTCATCAGAACTGCTGGATCAGTGACCAGTGTAGAGTGTGCAGCCCCCTTTCATGAGGTTTAGTCATATCTGAGGTCCCCATGAATCATGTAGTCAGTAAGCCCTGGGTGAGGAACATGTGATCATTACAATGATCATAGGGATGAGGGACTCAGAGGAGTCTCATCCTTCTTATACCAGGAAGAGTCTCTGCAGAACAACATTCTGGGGAGCATGAGATGGCAGCAGGAGGAAGTTTCTCAGCTGAAGGCTCCCTTTGCTGCCCACTTCTGTTTGATGACATTAAAGCGTGCCAGGGATATGAGGGAACCGAACATGAATTTCCTGTGTTTAATGTTTTTCATCCTGAGCTGAGCCTATATTCAGACCTAGCATTTACATAAGCAATTCCAGTGCCTTTGACAAGAGTTACACCCCTTTGCACCTCATATTTAGCCATAGAGTTAAAGTTACAGCTACATAAATGAACAGAAATTGAGTTGCTTTAGATATTGCCCTAAATCTCCTTTGTGCTTAAATTTCCCGTGAGAAAGATGAGGATAACACTACTTCTCTATCTCACAGAGAGATGTTGTGAGAATAAATATAGTGCTGTGGTATTAATGGTTGGAATCTTTTAAGTACACACTGGTACGGTATGTATTGATGTAGCGTTTTTATTGCTGTTTCACTGTGCATTATTTTGGTGCACATATGCATGTGTGAGACAGAGATTTGTTTCCTATTCTTCTCTCTAAGTATCTGTGTCAGCGTTGTAACTGTCCTGAATTCCTATTGAAATTCTCTGTACTGATCACCCTTTTCCTGTGGTATACAGATTACATTTTCTCAAGCTAAATATACTTCTACAGCATCTAATCCTTTTATAACTTTTTTAGTTCCCTAAAAACATTTTTTGTCTTTTCAGTTGATTACAACACCTCACAAATTAGTCTTAGCTCTCGTTAACATAAAAGTTAAATACAGGAACTCACAGTAAACTTTGTGGCTCCCCTCAGTGTGATATGCTGTTGGCTGATATTAACCTTTGTTTACAGCTCTTTAACCACTTTTCTTTCCATGTGACAGAACACAGAATTCAGCCAATTAGAATTAATTATTTTTGCAAATAAGATTTTGAGAGTTGCTCTATCAAGTAGGTTAGGTTTTGGGCAAGTACTTTGCACAGGGTGTCTAAAATATATCAGTTCAAGGTACAGTCATTTTTGTTTTCTTAAATACAGAAGGATGAACAAAGAATTAGGTAATGGAGCATAATATGTTGCCTGGGCATCATAAATGGCCTGATCATCTTGCAAGAACCTGAATTAGGATTCAAGAACATTAATTCCTGCTTTAAATGCAATTTACCACTTTAAGGTCAAATTTAGTTGCACTGCTCAGGTAGTTTAAAATATCTTTGAAAAATTAATAATCAGGTCTGATTGGCCTCCCATTTGCCTTGTTTTGTACTGTTGTAATTCCACTGACAGTGAATGGGAGGTAGTCTTCTATGTGTGAGAGAGAAAAAAGAAAATCATTATTTACAGTCTTTGCGTCGTCATGAGCTAACAAATGGATTTTTCATTGAGTGTATGTTTTGTATGCTTTTTCTGTTTTATTTTGGTAATCTACAGACATCATTATTATATGAATAGAGGCAGTTGGGAGTTTTCTAAAGGAAATGTTTATTTATTACTTTCTAAATTGCATTTGTTTAATCACAGAAATCTTGCATAATTTGAACAATTACTTGTTACCGTATTTTAGTATTTTACTAAGAGAACAATTGACTTTTCCAGCTTAAGCATATTAAAAGCTTAGTCAGGTGTATGTTATATCTGGTTCCCTTCCAGTTTTAAAAATTTATAAGTTCTCTTTTTAATGTTCCAGGGAAAAGCAATGGTATTTGCTCCACGCCGAGGGAATACTTTAAACCAGTTTTGCAATCTAGCTGAAAAAGCTGGTTTCTCTATCCAAAGACATGAAAATTATGATGAACACATTTCGAACTTCCACTCCAAGGTTAGTTTTCTGCTCGTGTTAGATAACACTTTAATCCGCATTGCATTTTGAAGAGATCATGGTCCTTTTGGCAGGTAACCTAAATGTTTGATTAAAGTACTCCTTAGGTGTGCTGTTTCTGAACAGCTATTTTTGTATCTGATTATTTTGTGTGGAAGAGCCATCCTTTATCTCTGCATGTCTAGAAGAGTTTTGCAGAAGCACCTCCTGTTTACCCTTTTCATTCATAGAAATCTAATTTATGAGAGTCTTTTCTTGTTGTTGTTAGCTACCTGTAAGTATACAGCACACGAGCATTTACATTTTAATAAAAAGCTTGCAACTTTTAAATAGGTTAAATACTGAAATGGACTGAAATAAATAGGAGGTGAATGTCTAATTGTATCATATCGTACCGTAAATCCTTATCTCTGGCTGCTTTATGGCTGGGTCAGTTGGCAGCTTCAAACTGCTAAATCTCATACAGAATTTCACAGTTGTGGGGTTATATGTCAGATCGAGGCGCTACAAGATTTAGGTCAAAAGCACTTATCTGAGCATGATTTCTAAGCTTGCTTACATAAAGCTACTGTTATCAGTCTCCTTTTTTATTATTTATAAGTATGGAGTAATACAGGACATGAAGAGGAAGGTGCTTCACAGGAAACTTTTTAGGAATTTCTTATTTTCCTGTGGAGAAGTGCTTATCAAAATCATATTTATTACTTGCAGTTCTGAGATCTCTCTTTCATACCTTAAAGAAATCCACTGTTGTAGGTCCATGTGACCTTAGACCTAACCTCTTGCAATTTTCTAAGAATCGCTCTTGGAAAGTATAGACATGTTCAAAATTGAAGTGACATGCTTTTTTTTTTTATTTAACACCATACGATAGAAATCAGATTATGCTAAAAAAATATGCATGTGATGTTGTAAATATATATTTTAATGTTTATATTACCATTTTTGTGTTTATCTTAATATTTATTATTTTGTATAATTTTAATGTTTATATTAATTTTATATTTAATAAAGACTCCCACTAAAGCTATGTGCACATAAAATCACTTGATTTCATTGTTCAGGTAGGTTTGAATCTGGTCACACAAAACCCCCCAAAATTTCAGTCATTGTTCATCTACCACCTTGACTCTAAATCACATAAAATGATATAAATGTGAGGCCCAATATGATGGATGTTTTATTTCCCTCCACCTGAAAAAGGGCATGATTTTGATTATGTTGTTTCATGGTAGTAGTTCTCTTTCATTATCCACTGCATCCAAATCAGCTCTGCGGCAGTGAAATGCAAGAGTAATAGTTGTTATCTTGGTCCAAGAGATGGGTCTAAAATGACAGAGTAGATTATTTTACTTAGAAAACAAATGTATTCTATCTTCCTCTGCTTATGAGTCCACTACAGTCCTTATAATGGTGACCACAGAAAAGACCTATCTGAAGTAGCTTTAAATTAAGTAGTTCTGGAAATGCCAATCATTTTACTGCAGTATTTTTAGGTACAAGCTTTGAAATGGACACAAACTTGAAGCGGGTAATGCCCAGTTTCATTAGTTTAAATCCAGTTTGGGAATGTTTTTTCTCCATTCTAATCACAGCTGTGACAACGTTGTTCCTTGTTTTTCCTTCATCTGTCTCCTTTTGGCTTGAGAAAAAAAATATCCCAAAGAGAGATTACTGTTCAGTTTAACATGTGTGCTAAC